CACACTAATGATGTTGATGTTGTCTATTGTTGTTGTTGTTGTTATTATTATTGTTGATCTTGTTGCTCTTATTTTATTGTTCGTTGAACACTTGTGTGTTTGTTACCCTAAACAATGTATTTCTTTGATTAATTGTTGTCGTTTTTTTTTTTTTTTTCTTGCATATAAAATTTAATTATAAATTTTTTGCAATTTTTTTGTCGCCTTTTTTTCTTCTTCTTATTTGCTTTCTTAACGCAATATTTTCTTGTAAATTTCGGGTAATTTCGTTTCTTCACAATTTACACAATATATTCACTTTTTAATGTAAAATTTTTACTAATATATTTTCTTTTTTTTTTTTTTGCTTATTATCTAAAGACATGCAAATTTTTTTTTTTTTATTTTTATTTATTTATCTATTTATTTATTTATTTTTTTTTTCTTTTGTTCTTTTTTTCTTTCCACAGTTATTATAGATGTTTTTATATGTATTCTAGCATACACTGCTGCTGGTGTTTTCGTTTTTTCTTTTTTTTTTTCTTTTTGCTTTGGTTTTTATTACAGACAAAATTTAAATTGTAGGCCAAAAAGAAAGAAAAAAAAGTGCATAAAGTAGCACAAGATTCTATATACACCTATGCTGGGTTACACTACACAGCGACGACACAACTTGTTTCACTGACAAATAATTTCGAATAAATGAAATAAAAGCGAAATATTCGTCACTCATACGACATTGATGGCGCGGCGCTATCGCTTACTGCTGCGTCTGCACTGCAGCACCACTGACCAAAAACAGAAATTTTCAAGTATTTGTTGAATGTGCCTTAATTTTTTTTTTCTTTTTTATTTATATGTATATATATATATACAAAACACCGGCCGGTAATGATGTAAAGAAAATTTTAATACACAACGTACATATAAACTTGCGCGTATACCTTCATTTCACTTTGGAAGAATATTTACTTTCTTTAAATCTAATACGATTGAGTTTAATCCGTTAGTTTATTTACTTATTTTTGTCGTTCTTTTTAAAACAAAAAAAAAAAAAACAAAACAAAGACAAAAAAAGAAAACACAAATAAAAAACAATTTTTTTTTTTTTTACACAATTTTTATTATTTAACTTTTAAATCCATTTTCCTTATTAATCGTTCGCTGTTATATTTTTGTTTTAATTTGTAGTTTATATCTGAATTTTTAAATAAACATTTCTTTTGTTTTTTGTATAATTTTTCAAGTCCTGCTTTGAACTATTGTTCGAAAGGTTTGTTTTTTCTATTCAAACAAAAAAACTTTTATTTTTTCTTTTTTTAATGAAAAAGAAAAAAAATCAAATTTTTTGTTATTGTTGTTTTATAAATTTTTGAAGTTTTCTGTTGTCCAATCCATTATTAACACTCGAGCGTTTTTCTTTCATTTTAATGCACTTTTTTTCCTATTACGGTCTAGTCCCCATCTATCCAAAATTCTTTACATTGAATTGTAAATAATGGAGCGTAGATGTTAACGGTTCGCGCGCGTATCCAAGAATGATTCTTAGGTTTAGCGTAACAGTATTACTAACCAACCAACAAAAACAAAACACCGACAAAAGCCAAAAAGCATATACCAGACCAGTCGCCAGCACACTCGCTGAGTATGAAGTACATGCATATGCAATTGTATAGAGTTGATTGTGGTGGTAGTTTTGTATGTGTGTGGTGATGTGTGTGTGTGTGTGTGTGAATGTGTTTTAGTGCTTTTTTTTTCGACTCATTTCCAAAGCATATCCATATAAAAAGCTACTTGCTTTTTTATTCTTTCTCTTATTCTCTTTTAAACTCTTTACTCAAAGTTTTCGACATATTTGAGTGCAAATCATACAAAAACAATAATAATTCTCTTAATTTCCTCAAATGACGGCATGGGGGAAGGGTTAAGTACTGTTTTTTTTTTTTTTTTTGTTTCAAAAACAATATATTCGCACATGCACTCAAGTGCTTGCACTTGCGAAAATGTCAATTTTTTTTGTTTTTTTTTGCTTCCCTTACTATTACGTAGGGGTTTGTTTATGCCTCTCCATCGAAAAAACGCCATGCTACATTTTACACTCCTTTGGCCTTGTTCTCGTTTCAAATTAACATAGAAATTTACACGAAATGCATAAACGAAGTTAGGAGAGAGAGAGAGCATCTATTAGAGATGTATCTACGAATTTGCTTTTTATTTATTTTTTTTTTCGCCTCTTCCGTTTGTTAAATATCTCTTATGTAGTTTACTTTGTCTTTGCTGCTTGTAACTCGTCGCAGAGTTACTGCTGCCCGTAAGCATTACACTTTTAAGAGTAAAGTTCAATTTCTTACTCTTTAATATTATATACACACACATGCACGCACACATATTAACTTCAATCGCCTACTCTTTAAGAGCACATGCACACACACACACACATACACACACACAAACACCCAATACCTTCTTAATCTATAAAAGCTAAAGTTTACAATTATTATTGTTTTCATCTTTGCATTTTTTTATTTATTTATTTTTTTTTATCTACTCAGAAAAAGTGAAACTTTGTTTTGTTTTTGTTCGTCTTCTCTTTCCAGTCTCTACATTGCCTACTATCTCTTTCATTCTCTCTCTTTTGCTCTTGTTTTTGTTATTATTTGTAACCAGGTTTCGTTCATATTTGTTGCACTCAGTTGACGTTTACGGAAAACTTTTTTTTGCTTTTGCTGTTGTTGGTGGCGTTGTTTTTTCATTTTTTTTTTTATCTGTTTTCGTTTTTTAATTGTGTGTAATTTGTTGTTGTATATGTAAAGTGTTGATTGTATACGAATTGCTGTAATCTATTCGCCGGCGTATTATGATAATTAATATCAATGCATAAAAATTTTGTTTCATTTTTTTTTTTTGTCTACTAAGCAAAAAATTCGCACACAGACACATACACAGGCACATAATTATTCCCACATTATTATTATTATTATTATTATTAATGATGTTATAATTTAATGCGATTTTTAAGATTGCGATTCATTTCATATCTTAAGATTAGCCAGCCAGCCAATAGCACAGTAGTTATTGCTATTGTTTTACTCATAACATTTACTCGTATATATCCGTGTTTATATTAAAACCTCTTTGTGCTACTTGTATGTTATTGAAATTACATTCTACGGCATGTTTAACAATCGATTTATTCATACGTTATTTAGTCTTACTCTTTGCAACCTTTTCACCTCTTATTATATATCATCTTCTAACTGACAATTTAATGTTAGAGAATAGAGAAATGGGTTTATATGTCGTTCCCGATTGCATATAGATACATATATGCATGCATATATACATTCATATATATATATATATATATATATAAAGAAATAAATAAGTCAAGCGTATCTCTCAGATTTTCTTATACATAGACATAATGATAAGCAACATTGAAACTTGTGCATATTTATGTAAATTAATAAAAACCCATATAAAGTAAAATGAAAACAAGTCAGAATACAATATACGTATACGCCGTAAGCCGAATCTTACAAACCATGCCATAGTATCCAAGTTTCTTGTTAATTGCCGTTATGAAGTCAGCAGCAGGTAGCATTCGGATGGCATTAGTATTGTATCATATAAACAAATTTTCTGGGAAAAAAATTCGAAATTGTTAAATATAAACAATTTTATAAAAATAATTGTTTAATAAAACATATGATAAAAATATTCGTTTTTTTTTTAGATTATTATCAATAATTTTAGGTAAAAACAAACTAGTTGTCGAATACTTTTTATTATAAAGTTAATTTTTAAATAATTTTTTTTTTTTCAAATTATTTATTTTATTTCTTTAATTTTCTATACATTGTAATGATACACGAAGAATATTATTTTTAATGAAATATATTTTTATAAAAATTTTTAAAAAATTATTATTAGAAAAAATATACTTAAATTTTGTTATTTATAACAATAATTTATTTTTATACTCTACACCGCTTGTTTGACATGGTATATTAAGTTTGTGTGAACGTGTGCATACACAAATAAATAAATTATTGATATAAATAATAGAATTGTTAGACATGGTATACTAAGTTTGTGTGGACGTCTGTATAACATGCAGAGCCCTTCTGCATCACTGACTGACTGAATCATTTTCTGAATCGTTTAAAGCCTATTGGTCTATACGTACTTCTCATGACTGTTCATGTAAAATTTTGCTCAAGCTACAAGTCGCACTTTTTGATATGTATTGATGAAATTTGGTACACTGACGTGTTTTGATCCAAGGACGAATGCTAATGAAAATGATTTCTATCGTTTCGCTTTTTCGATCACTCCTCATATCACGCCTTATATGGAAAAAATCACAATTTTCAGAATTTTTCGACAAAACTTGGTCAATTGTAGTATTTGGACATTCTAAACTGATATGCAAAAATTTGATTCGGCTGGACAATTTTTTGAACCCCCTCTCATATACGCATTCCTATGGAAACTGAATCGTTATACAGTGAAAACTATGCCTTCGCCCGAAACTAGTATGTAATTTTTGGTGTTTGATTGCCAAAACGAGTGAATAACTGTATTAAGCGAAATGGTGTAGGATATCTAATAGTCGGTCTTCCCTGATTATAATGTTCTTACTTATTTACTGGTACCTTTCACAACGATTGCAATGTAACCTGATGCGCTTGGTGTAACCAAGGGACAAGAGAATGACACGAAATTTTCACTTGACTGAAGTGAAGCCATTGAGCTCCCAAGAAACTTCGCAATGCTTCCTTGCTATTTAATAGAGTTTTGAATGTAATTGTAAACTGAGATCTCCTTCGAAGAAGGCTACTTCTAAGCTAGACTTAAAGATTATGTGCTGCCTTGTTGCCTCTTTGTTGGCTTTAGTAATTATTATCGAAACTTCGTACTAATGGTTTTCAAAACTTTTTATTTTCAAATTTATCTTTTATATTTAATATCTTAGATTAGATTAAGTTAATAAAAATAATATATATTATATATATTATATATGTAAATATAACAACTAATATTCCGGAAGGCACATTTTTGGTTGCGATTTAAAAAAGTTTATCTACTTTATGGGGAAATCGAAGAATATAAAAATCAACACCGGGAACTTACAAATACTTGAAAAATTAGAAATTGTTTATGTAAAACGAGCGAGAATCTGAAGTAACGGCTTAGAACGATCGCAAGAAGCTTTTGAGCGACTAGAAAAAAATGTTTGTTTTCGGCTTTGGCTAGACGCTCTTAAACCTTCTCTAGCTACTGAGGAAGGTACCAAAATGAAACTCTATTAAAAATAGTACAAGCGTGGAGGATGATACGACTGATAAAACCCAAAGCCGTAAAGCCAACTGCAGGAGAAAAGAGAGAATGAGTTAAGAAAGGAAAAGTGCGCATAATTTGAAGAAAAGCTGCTTTTTTACCTCTTGAATTATCTTCTTTTTAGGAATTCTGTACACATTTTAGATATTGTTTTACAGAGTTTCTGCTCGCAGTGGCTTACTTCCTTCACGAAATCATCTTTGGCCCTTCCGCTGGAGCCAATTTTCATATAAAGCTTCTTTCAATTTTGAATCCAAATTTTTTTTTTTTCTGAAGTAAAGCCCATTTCTTGACAATTCCTTTTGCCAAGAGCTTTGGCAATTTGGCAACACCGCAGAGTAAGCAAATCCTCTTCTGAACTTTCTGAAAAATATATTCGAGCAATTGAATCCGGCAATTCAAAGCAGCCACTTCAGATTCTGCTTTTTCATAAGTCCAATAACTTCCATTTTTTTTGGATATTTTTGAGCATTTTTATATTTTCCAATTTCTTTTTTCTTTGTTAAGCCCATCTCAGAGCGGGTACTTTCCGGGATATTTGTATTGCTTTTAAATCTTAAATTTAGGTAGGGTTTGTAGTGCCATTAAAATTCATGTTAGCGGCATTAAGGGGCTACCAATGAAGGCCATATAATCTATTTGGGTAATAACACCATCAGATTGATTATTCTTTATAAACAATTGTATGTTTCGTACACCCTGAAACTTAACATAGATCAAATTAACGGGTGTACCCTTTTCTAAATCTTTTGGATTTATAAGCAAGTCTTGTACGCTGTCCATATGTTCGGCTCTGACAAAGTCAAGGATACGTGGTTGATTTACGAAGAGCTTAATTTCCTTGGGTCCCATTTGTGCTGGAGCTTTAAGTTTTAAAGAATGTATTTTAACCGCTTGCTTAAACGTTACCGATATAATTAATTGTTCATCGAAGTCTGATTGTAAATAGCCGGTATCGGAAATAAGACACTGACGGAATGGATGACTATCTGACTCGTTAATACATTCGCTTTCTTCTTCCGATATAAAGCTGTTCAAATTCATTAGGCCTTCACCGTAGTCTTCCAGATCTGTGGTAGCTTTTGGTTCTTCAACTTCATCGCCTTCACTTACCTCAGCATATTCCAAGATCTTTTCGGCTAAGGCATTAATATCAATTCCTTGAATTTTATCAATTTTTTTCTTATTTTTGAAAAACATGAATGTTGGTATGGCGGTAAGTCCTTGATTAAGTGCAGTATCTTCACACTTGTCGACATCCACTTTAAGAAATATAACATTTGGATATATTTCGGGAAGCAATTGAAAATGCGGAGCAATCAATTGACACGGGCCACACCAAGATGCCGAGAAATCAACGACTACTAAACGTCGTCCAGCATCAGCCAATTCCAATTCAAAGTGATTATCATCACTTATTTCACGTACAGGCATACTCTTCTTCGAATTAACGTAGATTTTATAAAAAATCTTGTAAATTTTCTCAAATGTAAAGCGATATTTATTAAATTATTTTCTTCTTCTTCACTACGAGGAAAAAAAGTTTTCCTTCTTTCGAAAAAATTGTTTTTTCTCTTTTTTTATTATTGAAGTACGTTTATTGACTGGAAGAGCGAGAGTCTTTTCTTTTCAATTAAAAAGTAAAAAAAAATGTAGACAATTAAAGACGAGCCTACTATGATATCATAGCACAAAACTCATATTGTACGCTAAAGAAAAAGGGAAATATTACTTTAGTCGAGTGTTAGAAAATGCGAACTGTGCGAGTTGATGGCAATCATTCCGTTCCAATATCTTTGTTCAAATTTCGAGTTGTTCCACAACATTAAATATTCTGAGCACATGTTCCCCCCTAGGAAGATGTCCATTAATTTGTTAAACAACTTTACGGACAAATTGTGACATACGTCTTTTCTTGTTTTTCATTTCTTCCTTTTTATTATCTTGCTCCCAGATTAATCAAATCTTTAACACTGGAGCTACTGCATGGATCAATATGAACTTTTCGCACTTTTGAGTTTAAGAAAACTTGGTTTTAAAGCTTACACCCCACGCCATTCCTTGTAAAGGGTATATTAAGTTTGTGCAGACGTATGTAAAACGCAGAAGAGCTTTGGATAGGCCAAACTTTCATTAAACCGATCGAATCAGAATAATTTTCTCAATCGATCTAAGCCTTTCTGTGTGCCTGTCTGCTCGCCTGTCTCTCTCTGCCCGAATAATGTCTGTCTATGTTAATCGTGTTCAAGCTAAATCTCGCAATTTTTAAGATATTGTCGGCTTTAACCGACAATAATGTTATTATTAGTTTTTGATGATTTTTATATGCCATCACCACGGCTACCAAGAGTATATAAAGCTTGTGGAGATATATGTAACGCCCATAAAGACCTGAATTAAGATCACCTTTTAGTATACCAATTCAAAATCATTTTCTGAATCGATTTAAGCTTGTCTGTCCATCTGTCCGCCTCCTTTTTTTTGCGTTCAATTTACACGTTTTGAGATATTTGATGAAATATGGAACATCAACATGGTTGGAATCGGACCGTAATTTCGACCATTTCGCGTATAATACTTTCCTGTGAATTGTCGTCTTATGAATAACTGTAGGACGGTGTAGGGTTCTAATATTTGACCGTGCCCCGCTATAGTGTTTTCACTTGGTAATTTCATAGAAATAACTTTAAAATCTTATAATCACTTTCTCCTTATCGGGACAAATTTTCGAGATACTTATTCCGTACATTTATGAGCCGATTTTATGGAATCACAAAAATGAGAAACATTCATCGTTCGAAAGTGCGCGTCAGTAAATCGATTAAAAGTTATAGATGAAAATATCACAAAATTGTGGACAGCAGTAGCTATAGATTTAAGCAAAATGTCGGCAGTCCTAGTATTCCTAGTCCTAGTCCTAATATTCCGCTTCTTTTTTTTTTTGTTAGTTGGTAGAAGAACATTGAATTTTATCAAAAATAATTTCTATTTTACTTAGGTACATTCCAAATGTGCGTTCAACAGATCGCACAAAGAACCAAAGCGAAATTAATAGCTTCTGTCTTTTAGGGATATTTCTTTTATGGCTTCAATTGTTTCGAAAGATATGCCTTGATATGATATGACTAAGCCGGGTAAATAAGACCGGTGATTACCAAGTGAGTGCTCCTTTCTTAGTCCGATAAAGCAAGCTTTTGGTCGTAGCTACAGTAAGTGTCCAGCCAGTAAAGTCACAACGCTTAACGATTAGGCGCACACATTAGGTTGCGGTCACTCTCTGTCCATTTCACTTCCCTCTAACCGTGACCGTGTTACATGTGTAAAGGATACCTCGGGGGTAATTGCTCATTCAAAGAAAGTATTGTGCACGCATAACTTGAAAGGGTTGAATGGAAAAGTCACGGTTTTACTTACAAAATGCTGGTAACGTGCTCTTTTCAAAAACAGTAGGTACTTACTCTACATCCCAATGAAATGATAAGAACAGTAGATCTACTAGCAAGCAATGCGAGACGAACGATAGGATGGTATTATTAAACACAAATTTCATTTTTTTCGATTTAGGACGATGTGACCGCCGGGGTTTTTTAGATTCAGGACAGTGTCACTCTTTACCGTTTTTCTTGAAGACGGAAAATTATATTTTTTCGGTTGTTTAAGCGCGAACCGGCACCCCCTTTAGTAACTGAAATAATTCGTATAACCTAGGACCCCCATTACATATGCAAAATGTATGGCAAGTGAAACCACCGTGGTCTGTGTTCCATGTCGTTACCATATCTACTGTTCTTCTTACCTGTACATATGTACATATTCTTTTCAAGTTAATTAATTTCGGTAAAATTTCAATGATCTTCGTTAAGTGCGTCGCGGCCAAAAATGTAGATGTCGCGAATAAGTTTGGAAACATCTTACATGAATATGTTTGGATAAGCTTAAGGTAAGTTTAGTTAAGTGTTGGATAAACTTGAGTACATTGAAATGAATTTTAAGTTAATTTGCAAAAATCTTGCTTAAGATGAAATAAATGATGCATAGACTTAAGTTGATCTTTTAACCTGATAATCAGTATAGAAGCAATTTGAAAAATAAACATAATTTCATTGCTTTTCAAATGAATTCTTTTTCGTTACAAGTCAAATATGTCGTAACATGATAATCGCTACGGGGGCATAGCATATGCAAAAGCAAGCCAACCACTTACTAATACTGATAAGATTTTGCGATAATTTTTGTATTTATTTTCATAGCTTAACTATAAATATATATAAAATAATTTGCTGCTGACATGGATTCAAGCATATCAAAGCATTTCAATTAATTGCAGCAGTCAAAGTAAAGAAATGGTTTAAAGCGAATCTCGTTTACCTATAATTATACCTTACACTTACGCTTGTGATATAAGGGTATATTAAATTTGTGTGAATGTTTGTATAAGACGCAGAGGTATTTGCGATGAATCCATCAATCGATTCAGAATCAGACTATCTGTCCGTTTGTCCATCTTACGTTTAATCTACAGACCACAATTTTTGAGATAATTTTTGATGAAATTTGGTACACTGATGTGCTTCGGCCTAAGAACGAAAAGTATTGATAATGGTTCGAATCGGAGCGCTTTTTCGACCTTCTATAACGTTTCATATTGAAAACTTGCTACATGAATTAGAGGCCATGGCCCACTGTAGGGCTTTTGAATGTTTTAAGCAAATTTATCGAAATCAGTTTATTTTTTTTTTCTTATAAAGAAATTAGTTGACCGCATGAGCATTAAAGTATTATTATTATTGTTATTATTAATTTAAGAGTAAAGTCTTAGCACTGGTTTCTATCGAGCTATCAGTTTTGTTGAAAACTGTACCGCACTTGAGTTTTGAACCGTCGACCATTGAGTTGTTAGCCGAGTTAGCTTTGCCTACTCAGCCACTCAGGCAGATAAATATTAGGTCATATTAAAAGTCTTTGCGGTTTTTTCCGCAGGGTGGCGTTAATGCCTATAAGTCGGAGAACACACCCCTGATTGTCTTAAAAGAACTTGCGGTTAAAAGGTGAAATTTCAGGTTACATTTTTTGTGAAGAGAAAGTTACATTGATTTGAAAATGAGTGAAATACCTGAAGAAATACACTATGCGCGATTCTTTTTTTTCACTATAAAAAAAGTAAAAATGTTGCAGAAACGTGCCTAAACATTGGTGAAGTGTACGGTGGGTATGCTGTGAGTGATTGAAAGACCCAGGAGTGGGTGGCTCGATTCTATTCTGGAAATTTCAATATCAAAGATGTCCTTCGCTCTTGTCGAAAAAGTCGGTGAAATTTTGCAACTGCTGGAGCACGACGCGTACGTAAGCTGTCAGGAATAGGGTAAAGTACTAAACATCAACTACGTGACAGTTTTGAATCATTTGAAAAGAGTACGGCTACAAAATCTTGAAAGCAAAATTTAGAAGCATGGAAAAAACCGCAAAGACTTTTGACTCCTTATTAAACCTATAAACAGGTAAATGGAAGTTATTCACTCAATGGAAAATCTCGAAAATAAAAGAGCAGGAAATTTCCGAACAAACCGTAGCCCTTTCATAGCTCAATCGATAAAGAGTAAATTTGATCGCATCACGATCTAGGTTGACTATGTTACTTGACAGTCAAAAAATTTCTCATTCGAGCTTATAGGCTTTCCACTCGCTACAGTAAGTTGGTAATCGACTCGTTCGATACCTGATGGCCATAAACTGGTTTTTGATAAACACGGATCAATTTCGAATTTTCATATATAACGCTTGCGAAATTGATTACTTCGATCTTATCCAGAAGCTGTGCATTTGCTAAAATCTTTGACACACTTAAATCGCTAAAAGTCGTACCAAATCCATGATAAAGTAGAAAAGCCGCATTCACAATTAATGGATAATTTATTAATGAACGCCGTAGACTACCAGCTTTAAATAAAATAAAAACCAACAAAAATTCTCCATACAAATCACAAACAAATACGCAGAAAAAACGAAATATATATATATATATATATATATATATATACAACTGACTCACCCATTGACGGTTGACTGTCTGAACGACATTCGGGTATAAATTTTTTGTTGTGGCGCGTTACAAATTAATTGCGAACGCGTGCCACAAACATGATTCGCATAAATAAAAACATTTTACGCAGTCGTAACAGAGGCACCCGAATAACAATAACGACAACAACAACAGCTACCTCTTACTGCAATAACTATACGGTGATACATACACGCATACACAAATTTTTAACTTTTCGTTCGCCTTAAATGTAAGAGTATATCGGGGGCAACATCTGCACAGCTTCCACCTTCGACTCTTATATATATATATATACGTACGTACGTACGCTTTTTTGGGTGAGTCTATCTCTTATAACATTTGCTTGTTTGTTTATTATGGTCATTTACGTATATGACTGGATTTTACTTTTTTTCTTTGCTTGTTTTTACCTTATCGAAAACACTTCACTTCAAGAACGATGTTCAATT